CTGGCCGGGCTTGTGTGACCCCGAGGCTCTGTCACAAGGCACTGCAGCTCCTGCCTGGTTCTTGCAGCCACTCTCAGAACCCTGAGTTCCACGTAGGCAGCATGGCCGACCGCACTGAGGCCACCGTGAAGCCCCAATGGCCTTTGCAGAAAGAGCACGTGGAGACACGGGAAGAGACGTCCAGCCAGCCTCCCGTGGCTGCAGCCCCTTGCTGTCCCATAAGCCAGTCTGACTCCGAGTGACAACTGCCCAGACAAGCCCTTCCCAAAATATCGCCGATTCCCAGATACTGTTCCCCAAAACGGCTGCTTTCCACCATTCAGTTTTTAATAGGGAACACCCAGCCTTGGGATTCAGCCTCCACCGTAACCTTCACAGGGGAGATTTCACATCCTTAGTTTGCCTTATTTGTAAGGAACCCTGAAAGTTGGTGACTCATGACAAATGGCTTACCGTTATCTCTGCAAATTTAATTACTCAGCCCAGTGGTTTGCAAACCTGGGAGACTTTTGTTTTTTTAAATATAGATTCTCAAGTTCTACTCTGGACTCACCAAATCAGAATCTCCTGGAAATGGTGAGCCAGTGGCCAGCTAACTTGTTTTACTTTCTGTATGATTATTATACTTATATTCTATTTATGAACCCATGACATAGAGACAACTTAGGAGACGGATCTTTGGAGAATTTCCAATGCAGGTGAGCACTAGGCAGATGGACCGGTTCATCTGAGTAGTGAGTGCTTATTAAGGATAACACACTTGAGATGTCCTCACAAGCATATTCCACATGGCTCTGGAAACAGAATGACTGAATCTGTAACAATAAGTGAAACAGTGTTTATTGCCTCAAAAGAGACAGATAAGTTATGGCAACAGTGGGTAGCCCTGAATTTGATCCTCCTATAGAAAATAATGTTATATGACAAAGAAGAGATGTAAAAATGATTTGGGAGTGTTATTTAGAGCTGAGATCACGTAGGGAGAAAAGGAATCTAATTACACCTACTTGTGACGTTATATATTAAAATAAATTTAAATATTTATTAAAAGGGGAAAAGTAATCCATGTTAAAACTAGAAAAGGGAAAAATATATCAAGTTTTCTGCAGAGAAGAAAGTTAAAAGTCAAAATTGGGTCTTCTGGGGGTGGGGGGTTAGGGAGAATCTGTTTTTTGCTTTTCCCAGCTTCTAGAGAATTCCTTGGCTCGTGGCCCGTCTCCATGTTGAAAGCTACGCAGCACTGTGCAGCCTCCCGCTCCTCCTTTCTGCCCCTCCCTCCCTCCCCACTCCTTTCTCGCTCTCCTCCCTCTCTCCTCCCTCTCTTCCTTCCTTCCCTGCTCTGCTTCTGTATCACCTCATTCCCTGTCTCTGAGCCCTTACCTCCCTTTTACAAGGACCCTTGCAACACATTGGGTCCACCTGGATAATGTAGGGACATCTCCCCTTGACAAGATCAAGGATCATATGCAAAGTTCTTGCTATCATTCAAGGTGACATGTTTACAAGTATCAAAGGTTAGGACATGGACATTTGGGGGAGACCATCATTCTGACTACCAAACTCTGTACCACAGTTGTACAGAGCTATCCTGACATGGGTGGTCCTGACCAAAAGCATTGCTCCTAACCAGGTGACCCTGCCCAAGGGGGCTATCTAACGGTGGCCATTCTACTGTTCCTTGAGCCACCCTTTACAATGTGCAGCAGAGCTTGCCAAGTGGGAATATTCCCATCTGGATCCACTTTGTTTATAGAATCTTGCTTCACAGAGCCATGAGCTCTGTTGGGGCTCACCATCACAGAGTCCCCTCTACCTTTATGCCAGTATGCCAGGGGACCAGGACCAAATGATTAGCTTCCAGCGGCACTTATTCCACCTATGACAGTGCAGACTATGAAAACTAAGGGCCTTTGCTTTCTGGGAATGGTCTATAAGAACAGTCCAAGCAAATCTACAGAAAGTCATGAACCATGATCTCATAAAATCAACCCAGAGAGGATGAAAACTGTGAGCTGAGGGTCCACATCACAAACCAGGCATGATTCTAAGCTATTCCCCGGATGAAAAATGCTACTTCATGCTGACCTAATGAGGTATATCTTATTTTTAGCCTCCACTTTACCTGGGAAGAAAGTGAGGTGCCAGGGGTTAAAGAACGACCCCAAGTTTGCCCAGCAGGAAGTGGTGGACAGAGGAACAAACCCAGACGACCCTGATTTCCAGCCTATGTTCTGCTCCACTGAGATTTCAGAAACAGTAAGTTCTCCTAAGAGACTTGATCCAGGAAATTTGGAGCAATGGAGATGTGTTTGCACGACTTGCTAGGGAAGGCCCCCAGGAAGCCCAGGCAAGTGCTGGGGGACTGTGCAGCTGTAAAGCTACGCTGCAGCCCTTCCCCAGCTCTCCACGCCTCTCCTCACCTCTCAGACAGCAAGAAGGAATGGAATGTCATGTGAGCCCTTTGAAAATAGGATATAAGAGATATAAATCCCTTTACCTAGAAATTTTTTAATTGATTTTATTTTTTTTTAAATACACAACAGCGGAATGCATTACAATTCTTATTACACATATATACCACAATTTTTCATATCTGTTTGTATATATAGTATGTTGACACCCAATTCGTGTCTTCATACATGTATTTTGGATAATGATGTCCATCACATTCCACCATCCTTGCTAATCCCCTGCCCCCTCCTTTTCCCTTCCACCCCAAAATGTATTTATACACATAATGTTGTAGAGGGTCCCAGTCAAAAAAGTTTTTAGAAAAAATACTGGCCAAAAATCAAAACCACAACAAGATATCATTTCACCTTAGATGACTGATCGATCCTCTATCACAAAAAACTCATCATACATTAGGTTGTTATGGTTTGTTTAACACTTGTATTCCCTAAAGGGTTGTGAGCTCCCGAAGGACAAGAACATCATCATCTTATTCTCCATTCTCCAAAAAACCAAGCACCTTGTAAACACTCCTTCAGTGCTTGCTAAATTATCAGTGAGTATATACTTTGGCTTAAGTCCACACCCAACAAGTGCAGAATTTTAAAAATGCCATATAACCCCCCAAACTCACAACATGCTCCCTTAACTTAATAATCTAATTAGCATTATCCTTTTTAAATTCTTCATATTTTAAAACCTACATTATATAGAATTAAGTATGAAAATTTGGAGGGTATCTATTATTTGACATACTTTGTGTCTTTATCCCTAAAATCACAGAAAAAGGGGAACCCTCATACACCGTTGGTAGGAATACAACTTAGCACAACTATTATGGGAAACAGTGTAGCTATTCCTAAAGAAGCTAATAGAAATGCCATATGATTCAGCAATCCCACTATTGGATATTTATCTTATAAATCAGGAATTTAATAATTACTTTGCTTGGAGTTCACTGTGGTTCCAGTTATACCCTCTGAGAAGCCCCATTTCTTTCCATCATAGTGAAAAACCAGCCTCTGTCTCAGAGCAAAGCCTGTCCAAGGAAGGGACATGGCCTTCGTCCTTGGAAAAACCCACAGAGCATCCCTAGGCACAGTCTCACCCTGCCACACCAATTAGCATGAGACAGGGAAATACCTGGGATGCCAGATGACCCTCCTAGTAGTTTATGGTGGTTGATAACAAGTTGGGAAACCATGTAGTTCAGCACGTTCACCCCTCTTGGCTCAAACCAATCAGTTCAAACGAATACCCCTTTTGTACTGACCAATCACCCCTACCCAACTTGTTCCCGCCAGTGAATGTGCTAATCATGTTTTAGAGTTGTTATTTGATTTTCCCGCGGTGTGTGATGATTTGCTAAAAGAGGCTATGATGTATGTGGGGGTCCCTGCCCTCTCCAAAGAATGTATAAAAATACTGCAAACCCTGGGTTCGGGGCCTCTCAGCGTCACCAGTTGCTGTGTCTGTGCGCGGAGGACCGAGCTACCTCGCAATAAACACCTCTTTGCTGCTTACATCAATCTTGGGTCTCTGGTGGTCTTTGGGGGTCCCGAATTCGAGCATAACAATAGCACATATCTCAGTTTGTTATTACACACTCGTGATTTTTTTCCCCTAAATCCTACCTTTCCACTAGACTGTATTCTCTAAAAGGGCAGAAATGCACCTGCATTTGCTTAGGACAGAGCCTAGCAAGTAGGTATACAACAGGTCTCAGGGCCACATATGCGCACACATTCAAGAGTGGGTGAATGTAGGAACAGGTGTCAAAGAAACTGGCTTCTCATAGTGTTTAAAATTCCACCCCACCATTTTTACTAAGATCAAGGAAGACTAGACACTATAGGGTCTTTCTGATTCGTAATACATGGCTGTGATTAATAGAGTGCGTTTAAAATTGTGTGAGCAAATTCCATTCCCTGTGACAAATACACTCCATACAATAAATGAAAAAATGCAACATTTTACATGCTTCACGGTCGACTGTTGATTTGTTTTTGACATTGAATGAATATTCCAGGAAGAAATAAATAACTCAAGAAGAACCTGTGACTATATCTCCGGAAGCCTTTTGCCTCCTGTCAGTGAAACTAATAGTGCACACAACCTATTTAAATGTAAACTTAAATAAAACATTTCCCTCCTCCCTGCTCCTTTGTTCCTTGCCCTCGGAGGGTGCAGGACTAACCGTCTATAGTTACTGGGGGGAGGGGGCTGGTTTTTGTTTTTAGCTTTACGCAAAACTAAACCAAAGTATTTGGGGATTTTAATGTTCCATTTCTACAGTAAAGGAGTAAGGTGAGCACTCTGGAGACAGACAAAAAGGCTTGACTCAAGTCCTTGAAGGGATGAGCAGGCCTGGGGCCCATCCTCAACCTGGGACGCCGTTGCTAGGCAACCCCTCAGTCCTCAACCGCCGCCCCGGAGCCCCTTCCTCGCCTTCGTTGCCAGGGAGATCGACGCTCCAACTCAGCCCTGCCGTAAACCCGCGCGCTCTTGCGACACCGCCGCACCCGCCGCTGCGTGCGCGCCCTCTGCCCCCATCTCCACTCTCCGCCCCGGCCGCCATTGCCTCGTGCCCGCGCCGGTCGGTTGGTGGCGCCTTTGTCCTACGGCGGGCAGGTGGGCTGAGGCGGAGGGGGCAGCGGCGGGCCTGAGGCGAAGGAACGGCCGGGAGCCCACCGCGCTGGTAGCGGTGAGTGCCGGGAAGCGGTAGCCATCCGCCTAGGCTTAGGGCTGAGGGGCAGGCGGCTGAGGGGAGGCTGAGGCGGGAGGGCCCGCTCGACGCGCGGCCGCGGCCTCTCCTCTTCGGGAGCGCGCGGGGCTGCGCATGCCCGGTGTGGGGCGCGGCCGCCTCAGGCTCCCGTCAGGCCCAGGCCGGGCGGGCTGGCCTGCGGTGGGCTGTGGTCGGCGGCTAGGTGCCGCAGCCGCCTGTGTGTCGCGAACCGTCGCTTAGCTCCCCGGCTTCTCTCGGGGTGGGGCCGCATGCCCCGCGCCCCCTTGTCGAATCGGCGAAGGCGCGCGCTCGCCTGCGGGCCCTCCGCGGTCGGCGGCGCAGCCGGGCTTCGAACCCGGGCCGAGGCGGCGCGGCCCGGCGGGCGTTCTCCCGGGCGTGCGGCGCTCACGGCGTTCGGAGCGCTGTCCCGCGTCGCCGCTGCCGGGCGGCCCCTGGCTGCATCCTCCAGGCGTCTCCGTGTCGTGTGACAATCTGCCCCTTGGGTCGCCCTGGACCCTGGGCCCAGAGTCCCGGAGAAGAGCGACCGCGGCTGCTGGCTTTCCAGGGTCCTGATGCGGGCGCCTCCCGCTCCCCAGGGCGGCAGGGGCCCCTCGTGGCGCGGAGCCCCCAGCTGGAGTCCGCCCTGCCCCTTTATGTCCGTGTGTGCCATCCGTACCGTGAACCGAATGTTATTTTTTTTCCTTTAAACTGACCCCCCCCCAACCTTGAGTATATTTTGTTTAAGGCAGAAATTTCAATCCCAAACCGTATAATGGACAGTCAGTTATTTTCCTAATGCTCATAAAAAATAAATACCTGTCTATTAAAATAAACAGTGCGTCCTTGTTCCTCCGAAGTTATTCTGCGTTCCACGCTTTGGGAAACGCTGCCCTAGGAGCACGGGGTTCATTGTCGTCCTTCGGGCTTTCATTCTGTGCACGTTACAGGTCCCATGAAATCCCTGGGACCTCTTGGTGTCAACTGTTCTCTGTTCTTACAAGGAACTGCAAGAACTGTCTGCTCGAATGCATTCGATGTGCCTCCTCGGTTTTCTTACAGCATTGTGATGTGGTAGTCACCTGACAATTCATAAAAAGATGTGTCTGCAAACGCTGATGGAGCTTTCTTGGGTTTTGACAACTCTGGATTTAATGTTTTCTATATGAGTCAGAGTGTGAAAACTAACTTTATGTCAACTTTTTGGAATCAGTAAAATGCAAGCTTTACCCTGTGGAGATTGGAGATCAGTTGGCTATTATTTGTTAATCTCAGTTTCTTCCTTCATTCAGGTTTTTGTTTGTTTGCCTTTCCTTTTGTTCATCTGTCACCCTCCAGATATTTCTTAAAATATTTCTGGCGTATTCTCTTAATCGAAAACAAACACTGATTTTTCCTTGTAAAATGTGCTAGAGGAACCATATTGCCAAGGCACAGTGGAAGGAATTTTTCTGGTTGCAGACTGCTCAGTGTTGCATGCCTGTGAACAACACGTATTTAAAAGAGGCATTGACAGATATTATAAGTTAATAGTCTGTTCCTAAGCTCTGTATTTTTAAGTGAGAGCACATCTACTTAATTCATTCAAAGGAAAAGAAAAGTCAGCTTGGGCCATTCAAGTCCCCCCACCCACTCGTCTGTTTAAAAAAAAAAAAATCCATATTCTTTAGGAATTTCCTTGGTATGATCACAATATAGAGTTGACATAAGGGCTGATCATCTTCAAATTTCTAGGCATCAGTTCTGTGTAGAAAAGAAAGGAGAATTTAATATTACCAGGGAGTCAGTTTCAGAACTTCAGCACTTGTAACTTCAACTATGTACTCAAGCTAAAAATACACATCTTTTGGAAAGGTTTTGAAGTCTCATGAGAAAAGGTTTGATGGTTTGAAACTTCATTTTAAATAACCATTGCAAGCATTCCATGTCTGTGGCCTGCAGATGGCAGTGCCTTTGTAACCTTGTTACTACTATGAGGATTATTGGAATTTAGTTGTGCTTTTAAGAATGGAAAACTTTATAAAAGAAAAAAAAAATGGAAAACCTTTGGAGGAAATATATTTGACTTTTTATTCCCCTCAGTTTATGCTGTTCTTTTGTTTCTTTACTCCCCATCTGAAGCATATAACCTCTTTTTCTAAACTCACTGCTACTCTTAGTAGTAATGGTAACATATATCTAGCAGTGCAAATGGCAAGTATCAGTTCATTTGTCCCTGCCAATCATTTTGTGAGATAGACTGGTGTTATTATTATTATTTATTTATTTTTGCATGTAAGGAAAGAATAGCTCAAACATATTATTTTACCCAAGATCACATATTTAGCAGAACATATTCAAGATATTGGTGGGCTAGCTCATTCCTGTAATCCTAAATACTTGGGAGGCTAACGCAGGAGGATCAAAAGTTCGTGGCCAGCCTGATAACTCAGCAAGACCCTGTCTTAAAAAATAAAAGGGACTGGGGTATAACTCAGTGATAAAGCCCCCCGGGTGCAATCCCCCCCACCAAACAAACAAACAAACAAACAAAAATCCGAAAACGCTATTGCTGAAGATAAAAGATTTCCTAGTCAAGCAACTTGGGAAATGTTAAGGTATTCCAGAACTTGTCAGAGGCTGTTGTGTGCTAAGCATGTGCAATGTAGATGTCCAAGAGGGGATGGTTTCATCATGCCTTTCTCACAATCCTCCCACAAACATCTTGAGGTCATAGTGTTCCCCACAACTGACTACTTTATATTGTGCTTGTTTCCTCTTTGTAGCTTGAAGTTTACTAATGATTGCCATGTGTCTTCAAGATAAATACTTATAAAGTTCAGTGTCAAATTTTTTATGCCAAATGATTAGTCTGGTGAACACCATGCACATTTTTTTTTAGACTATTCTGCTTAAGCAGAGTTAACCGGTCAAGGGGTTAAAAGGGCAGTACCCTTTTAACTTATGTTTATTAATGACTGGATCAGGGTAAGGCTACTGTCTGAAGCAGAACACATTAAGGAAATATGGAGTATACTGACAACTTAATATATAATACAGCATGCCTGCTGCTTTTTAAATGGTAGTTTTATTACCACCAGATCTGAATATTTATAGGGATCGGATGGTCATTTTCATTCTTCATTCTATCACTAAAATTTAAGCACTAATATAGGTCATCTGAACCAGTTACTTTAATGTTGAAATAATTTCCCTTGTAAGAATCAGAACTTCTCCAGACCCATAGGACTGAACTCATTTCCCCTTATTTCATGTTAAGAACACTGTTGACTTATATAAAAGGATTAGGAAACTGCAAACAAGAATCAGCGCAGCTTATGTTGCAAGGTATTACATCTTTAGCTTTAGTGGATCTTACAATCTTTAGTTTTAGAGCCTGGTTTGGCTCTGTGGTGATTAAATTACTAAAGATTAGGCTGATCCTGCAGTTAGTGGACAAAATATTGAGAATTTTGAACTATAAGTATTTTGACTTTGAGTATACTTCATTATATAATTGGATAAGAAAGTAATAACATGTATTTCAGATGATATGTTTATTTTTAATCTTTCTTCTAAAATTAATTTTGGTATCCAAAAGAAAAAATTAGGAAAACAGTATTTTAATAAAATTTTAAAACTTAGGGAATTACTGGAACTATAAATGCAAGCTTTGGGAAACTTTATGATTTATTGGACTGGGGTTGTGACTCAGTGGTAGACCGCTTAACTAGCATGTATAAGGCACTGGGTTCAGTTCTCAGCACTGCATAAAAATAAGTAAACAAAATAAAGGTTTATCAATGACTAAATAAAAAAATTAAAAGACAACATCAAAATCTGATCCCTGGGCTGAGGACATACTTTGATAGAGCTCTTGCTTAGCATGCATGAGGGCCTGGGCACCCCCACCCCCCACCCCAAGGAAAAAAATCTGATTCCAGAAAACTGCCTCAGAGTCACCAGAACAACATGTTGGAGACAGATTCTTGGATGTAGTTCCTTCTCCCCAACTCCTAACTGACTGGAGGTAGGGCCCCAGGAATCCATCTTTCAAAACCCACCCTGGAAGAGGATTTATGTATCTTGCAGTTGGAGAATCCCTGATACAGTACTTTTTTAAAAAACCAAGTTTTCACTGGAAAAAGGAGGTTAAAACAGATTCTAGGACTAATCTAATAATATCCCAGATTACTAATTGGCATTGACAACTGTGGTTTATGGTTAGGTTTGCTTTAAGCAAGAGCTTGACCATAAAATGTTTTTGGCTTCATAGTTTGAACTAGATCACTTCTTGGCCTTTTGGATAAGATCAAGTGTGTAGTTTAAACTACAGACAATAGAATATTTAGAATATCTGTGAAGCTTTAAATGTTTTAATTCCTTCCCTTCATAGTATTAGAGTGGTTTCACCTTTTTCAGAACAAAGAAAGTGTATCTACCAAAACCGTGTGGTATGCTTATTAACTTTAAATTTTTTTTCAAACACTTTATGTTTAATGGTGCAGATGTGAAATTATACGTGTGGCCTTTTTTTCCCTTTTTGCCAAGAGTTACATTTAGGTATGAAAACAAAATGCCTCAAAGAAGAATCAAAGCTTCTGGCCCCCAGGAGGAAAACCATATTGACACTCTGGTTTGCAGAATTTCGAGAACTTTAGTTGGCAGTTTGCCCTTCATTAGCCAAAGAAGTAAATAACATGCTATTGAAAAGTGACAATGTCAGTGGCGAGTATATTTCCTGCCTTTTTAAACTAAGTAATTGGAAGAAGAAAAGCTTAACTGTTTGGGATACTTTTTTTAGATGGAATTAAAAGTGGTGGATTGCACACTCCTCCTGTGGAAGGGGCCAGTAGCCATATAATTGCATCTTATTAACTTCAGCACTTTGGAAACTTGGTGATGATTCAGTTTCCTTTGGAGGTAGCATTGTGATTGTGCTTTTTATACTGTTTTCAGGGATTATATTTTTATAGATTTTAGCTATTGTCATAACATTTTCT